TAAAAGCCTCAACTTAATTCGATGTCATTTTTAGTATGAACTAGTTGAGTCAATATAAGGATTAAATGGATTATTTTAAAAGTATGTCACTTTATTTTAAGGTAGTGAGAGTTATGTATTCCAAAGTGTTAGAGGTATTTTGTCATGTTTAACATCTATTAATGGAAAAATAAGTTGTATGATACATTTAGCATCCGTTTGAGATAGCAATGTGGATTTTGGTTTTATTTTTGATGTTTCAACTGTGCAAGAATTTTGAGATATATTTTCAACATGATCCATTTATGGATAACAACAGTGGATACATTGTGGAAGACCCCCTATAGACACAAAAGTATATAAGAGATACGAGCATCGATTGACTCTTCAAAGTGAACCCTTGTATGAGGAAAGAACCCTTCTTCCTAATAGAATGAAAGAGATGTTCGAGCAAATTCGAACTAAACTTCCTGGTGTTTCAAAATTTTTCTTTTCCTTTTGCTTGAGAGAAAATATCTCTAGCATCTATAGGCCTTGGAAGTGCAAATTGTTACGGATCTATGGTTTATGATTTTGATGATAGCAAACATTCCTTATTTCTCTATGATTGCCTTATGTGCTAATGTTTCAGGTCCACACGATCAGACTGCAATCTGGAACCAGCTCAAGATTGGGTAGACTAGGTCTGTGTCAGTTTGTAATCTTTTTCCTTTCTTGAGTCTGTTGTATTTGGTGTGACTATAACTTGATAGAAATTCTCTTGCTCCCTATATGATTTCTATTTTTGGTAACATCGGCCAGGACGATCGTAAGATCGGCCTGGACGATCTGTCCAAAATCAGAAACCCTAGTTAGGGCATCCTCATTAAGGCAGCCGTCAACAGATCGGCCTGGACGATACTTGTATCGGCCAGGACGATAATCTCAATTCAGAAAGAAATGTGAACTCGCATCTTAGTACCATCGGATTCAAGGCTTGTCTCGAGGTAAGTTCACCAAAGAAGAAGATCTCCTTGGTGTCAAAGGACCCAGCGACTCCGCCGCACCGGGGAAGGTGGAAGTGATTTTGTAAGGGCTTCTCCGCCTAGCCGTGGGGGCTAAAGGAGAGACACTAGTTTAGTGCAATACTTGGGGGGTGCCTCCAAGGAGTGGACGTAGGTCAAGGTTTGACCGAACCACTATAAATCCGGTGTGTTCTTTTCTTATTGTTGCTTCCGCATTATTTTCTTCCGCATTGTTTTTCGTTGTGGTGAATATTGGTTTTGGATTGTGTTTTAAAATACCGATTCACCTCTCTATTAATTAGCCTTGGGCTAGTTCAATAGAGCCTAACATCCCTAACGAACTTTCACAAATAATCTTTGAAGTCTGACATTGCAACATAATATAACATACACATTGATAGTGTTATGGTACTGCCAATGTCGATGTTGTTCAACCAAGGAATATAAGTACCTACTCAGATAGAATCCTCCCATAAGAAGGACACCTCCTGTAAGAATGAAGGAGATGTTTGATCAAATTTGAACTAAACTTCTTGGTGTTCCAAAATTTCTTCTTAGTTTTATACTTGAGAAGAAAATAGTTATGGCATTCACAAACACTAAAAATGATAAGTGCACCAAGATACCTCTATTCATTTTGAAGGCCAACTATTTGGTTACAGATGTTACATCTTGTAGAGGTCTGCTATACTGCAGATCTTGAAAAGAGTTCTTTTCAAGGTTGCAATCATTGATTTTAAGGTATATGACATTAGTAAAGATGTAGTCATCCAAGGTTGAAATGATTAGTTTCTTATTTAAGCTAACAACATAAAATAATATTTATTAGGATTTATATAAGGTCCAGAAAGAACTCTTGATGAGTGAAAAAGGGAGTCTACATCAGAATAAAGAGGTATCTCGTGGCAATCAAGTGACAAAACCACAATTCACCTGTAAGATAAAGCGGGGAATTAATAATGAAAGACCATGGGCCGCTGAAGCACGACGCCACACCACTGGCTCCTGAATATCCTTGCAAGTGGAAAGAAGATGTTAAAAAAGTTTTAAGAATGCCCCCGTACTTGCACCATAGTTTGTATACACATTGGTACACAAGGGGTAAGTAACCCGCATGGGCCCTGACGAGCGTATTGTAGGTATATACTTGACACCTGGAGATGCTATGCTGGTCAATAAATTTGAACCTGATCCTCCTATGTAGATAAATATGAGTAAAAAAGGTTTAGTAAATAATTATAAAATGTCCCCAAACATGATGTATAGGGAGGCTGTGTGGGTCATAGAATGAACATAGTTCGAGCTCCATCCCCCTATATAAATAGATAGGAGTCTACACAACTAGAAGTATCAAATAAATATATAGTCAGGGTATCGACCATAATATCTATTTTATACGTTCATATAAAACCTTCAAGGCATCTAACAAAGAAAATTCATTCATAAATACATAAATCATACTAAGCCCGATCCTCTATTGATAGCTCGATAGAGTCGACAATGTTTAATTTATAAATGAAAAATAACCCCACACACCCCGATGATGATCATGTTGAATATAGATCTCAACCAGAGGGATTAATTCCAATATTTCAAAATGCCTCTTATGAAATCCAAAACTCCAAAAATCATAAAATTTAAAATATTTTGAAATTGAAATTCAATCTTTAACCACTCAAAGCAAAATCCATCCACCTTATGCAAAAGTTTGTTAGAGTGGATAAATTAAAGTTTACTTCAGCTCACATAAGAACTATTTCTCAAATAATCTCCTGTTAGTAAGGAAGTTGTGCGTGTCCTCTAATTGGAGGTTTTGTCGCTAAATGACACAACGTAATAAATGGTTATGACCCGGGGCCCTCTGAATTGAGTGGCTTTGCCACTAAATGACACCACGAGATAGTGATTATGGTCAGAGCCAATACGTTCCTTAGTGGCATCAAATCTTTGAGATATGAATCAATAGGATGTAATCGATAAGGCACAAAACCATCTGTTAGCTAAGGTGGATTCAAATTTATCCCCTTAGACATACATCCATCCAAGGTCTATAAGGTCCCCTTAGAAAAAGCAACCCATAGCTGCCAACAAGGATCCTTCTGTCAGGTTGGGTTGACTACCTCCTCTGACTAAGTGACCAGGGACCACGATGACCCGGGATGATAGAACCATGAGATTTTGATCAGGTCCATCATCCATTCCCCCACCATCTGTTTTAAGTGGAAGTTGGAAAAATTTCAATTTTAAATATAAAATCTTCAAATTTCCTAGTTCCCAAACCTATGCTGCTACTATATGCTTAATAGTACGTATCTTCTACGTATCTGATTGACGACTAGCCTTAATCAAAAGTTCTATCTCATTACTGAGAGGGGTAATTAATTGTAGGGGCTTGCACTTATAGGAAACCAGAACTCAGATCATAAAGTCCTCGCAAAATGAGGGTGAAATCTCTGAGTAGTATCTTATCTACAAACTCGTCTGCCTTCCAAAAATTTATCCCAGAACTTAATCCGTTAAAACTAAAAAAAAAAAAAACAGCAGGCAGAGGCTGGGGCCGAATTTTCAGAGCCCACAAATGCATGTGCATATTAAAGTTTATTCAACATTTTTCTTGTCATCCATGACCATTATTTAGGTTTCAAGTGTTTCTCTATTTTGTTTAGCGTTTGAGTTTTTTTAAAATGTTTGTGATCATATAGAGATAGTTTTTTATATATTGATTTGATGCAATGGCGAAACTATTTATTGTCAGGGGAGCAATTGCACCCCCCACCCCCCTAAAAAAAATTTGTCCCCCTCCTTATTTTGCCATAGGTGACTTCCTGCCCGTGCGTTTCATTCGCTATTTTTTCCTCAGTCGAGTGTTTGTGCATTTCGTTTGATTAGTTCACCAACATCTAAAGTCGAAGATCGATTGCTTGAAGGAAAGAAATGGTGTTTGCAGATTCTTCTTCCCTTTATTTTTTACTGTCTTCCAAGTTCCAAGTAAGCTTTTTTTTTTTTTTGCACAAAATGGAATGCAAAGTTTGTAATTTTTTACTTAACATTTATAATGTAGTATAAAAATATATTTTGAATTTTGTCTTGTATATCTTTTTTTTTTTATTACTTGAGTTTCCCTCTCTTCCTTCTCTTCTTGCTTCCCTCCACCTTTCATGAGGAATGATGGGTCTATTTATAATTTTCTGTGAGTGAATGGACGGACGATATTGATCTCCTTAATCATGGATCATTTATTGAGTATTTAAGTGCCTTAGTGATGTCAAAATTTGACGATATTGGGCTCGTTGGATTTGTCTCGTCGAGCCGCTTGATTTGATTATAGGAATGTCATGTTTAGAAACCATTTTATTATCCAATTTATGGACATTCCAAATATGCTTTGGGTCTTTGACTTGGTACCATTTGGGCTCAGATTAGTTGAATTTGGTGTCATTGTGTTCGTCTTTTTGAGACATTCAGTTCGACTATAAGTTTGTTGAAATCAGAGTTTATATGGTTCTGAATTTAATTTCAAAAGTTTCCAACTTGATTTTGCTCAAGATTCGTGTCCGATCAAGATAATTTTTTGAGGATATATCAAATATATATTCATTTTTTTTTAACTTGGTACCATTCTAGTTTACTATACCTTGCATCATAAGCTGAATACTATTGATGATAATGTATATTAATGATGTTTATATCATTGATTTTTATTAAAGATCATTACAATGATATTCACCTATATGCATTTTAAGTGATATGCTTATATTATTTCAATCTATTTATGCTTATCATTTTATTTTAATTTTTTTTTTATTGTTCTTATTTGTATTTATTTTTATGATATAATAGTTTTGGAAAAAATGATAAAATTAAACATATAGACTTTTTAAAATTTTAAATACAACAAAAACATAAAAAAAGCAAATATATTTTTATTTTTTAGTAAAATACAAATAAAAAAAAAATTAAAAAAAAATCCCAAACAGCCCTTTGATAAAAACTCCTATAAAGCATTATCCTGAAGTCAGGTCCCCAAACCCGTCTTGCTCCAAACTAACGTCGGCATTCCATCATGCCCCAAACTCGGCTGGGCAGGTCGCTGTACCACACTACTGGGTAGTGTAGCCGCGTTAATCCCAGTCCAGCAGTCCGTCTCTCCTGGCTGCCGAAGGAGAAGACGGAGCAAGGGCTAGAAGCTAACCGAAGGGGGATGTATAGTCGAAGGTGGAGGTAGTTCCAGTTATAATTGAAATGACGGTGATGTTTACTACGGTGCCGAAATCTCTTCCTTGTCAGTTCCTTAAGCCCTCGCCTCTCTTCATCTCCTCTTCTTCGTTCCGTGGCCGTCATCCAAGGCTCAAGGAGCACTTCTTTGTATGGAGTCCATTTCGATCCGGCCTTCGTAAAGTTCGCAACTCGGAATCCTATTCCCATGTTTCTTCTACCGACGGAGCGTCGTCTAGTCTGTTTGTGCCAGTGGAAGAACAGGAAGAGGAGGAGAACTCCGAATCGGCGAGGCTATTGGAGGTGAGAGTGCCGTCATCTATAGTTTCGCGTTTGTCTTTGTCTGCTTTAAAAACCTTTTTTTTTAAATTCTTTTTTTTTTTTTCTTTCTTATGCTTTTGTTGTTGTGTGTGTTTTCGTATGCTTTAATATTTCTTCTTATAATGTAAGCAATACTATGTCAATCTATTACAATCATTTTAAACTATGAGGGCAAAGTTTTTTGAAGAGTGGTGAAGTATGTTGTAGAGTAAGAAGACTACGATATAATTCTAATAATTATAGAAAAAAATTCGGAGTATGAGAAGTTTTTGAGCTACCTTGCAAGTCGAGAATCATCATTATTTAATGAGTTTATCAACACGATGAATTTATTAAAAACAAAATGATGCTTAGCTTTTTTTTTTTCTTTAAATTATGAAAAGTTTGTTATTTTAGAAATTCTTATGCTTCGACCATCATTCTAGAAGTTGATCACCACATGATTAACAATAAAATTTTAAAAGACTTTGGTTTTAAATATATTATACAAATATGAAAAGAAATACTATTTTCTTAATGGAACGATTATGCCATCAACATCTTTGATTAAGGGTGGAACAATCAAGGAAGATATTGATCATTAAAGAAGTACTTGCCTGGATCTATTCTTATTTCAATAACAGATGAATAGAATTTTAAGCAAGTAAACATTCATGGGACATCCTCTTCTCTCGCTCTACCTTCCATTGAGGTTCTGATGCAGAAAAGAAATTTTTGGATGCTTTGTAATTTAAAATCTCTCAATTAAACAAGATCATCAAGTATGCAATCAAATCATGAAGATTTCAAAATTTTCTTTTCATCCATGAAATTATGTAATAATATGTATTTTAGTGCTTATAATGAAGTTGTATTAGAAAATTATGATGGGTTAAAGTAATATACAATATTGCTTGTAGCATTGAAATGTGAAGTTTGGTGGTTTCTTCCTTTTTTTTTGTTTTTTTGTTTAGGTGGTTTCTTCCTGGTGGGCTACTATAGTAAGTACAACAACAAGCATTTATCATACTACGTGGGTTGGATTACATGAATTCGTTTCTCCATTGTATCATATTAAGAGTCAAACTATCATTTGAATATAATAAAAATGTCATTTCCAATACTTTCTAACCAAGTCTTTTTAGGTCTACCTCTACCTTTTTTAACATAGGCCGGATCTAATACATCTAGTCATCTACCATCCTAATAAACTTTCAATGACTATTTTTATTGTCCTATCTTGAATTGATGTCATTCTATTCATTCTTATAATCTTTAATTCATATAATCTTCATAGTTTTTTCACTATTCATTTCAAATTTCATTTCCATCATGTTCAACATAAACATCATTTTCATTTCATTAGTTTTTCCTTGAGTCTTTTGATTGGTTGTTGGCCGGAACATTAAGCCTCATATTTCTTATCCTGGAAAAATATAAATGTAAATTTTTTTAATGATTGGCCATGGGGGTTTTGAAAATGGAAATGCAATGGAGAAAATTCCATAGAAAACTCAATCTTTTAATTGCACTATTTAATCTAGATTGTAATGTTGCCTCCTTAAAGTTCGCTGGAGGATTAAAAAATTGTGAAGGACACTTAAAGTATACCGAAGCTGATCCCCCATCCATTGTTGTTTTGTATATGCAGCCTGTAGGAAGTATCAATTAGATGTGAAAGACTATCAGACTTCCGCAGAGGAACATGAAGGAAAAACTTGAAGTAACTTTTATTTTATTAATTCCATGCATTTTTCTTCGTACTAATTTATGAATTACAAAGAATTTTATAACACATTTTGTCTTCGCCCCCCAACTGGTTTTACATTTCCACCCCTAAATTATATGTTTGAACTATCGATATACTTTTGTCCAAAAAGGCAATATTAATTATGGCTAATTGGGTTGTCTTATGAGACTTCCAGCTGAAATATCGATTTAATAGGTGTTAACGTAACATTAACAGTTTTTATTTCATCTGAGTTAATTTTTATTTAATTTATAAGACAAGTTAACAGAAATAGAGAACACACTTGGGAGTACTTTTCTGTGTAAATGTTTTCTAATTTTGACTCTTTATCTTCCATCTTTTGAGCATTTCTCGTTCATGTCTTGATTAGGATATATTGATTCAGTATTTTTCATATTTATCTGACAAATCTAAAAAAAATTTTATTCTTTACATTTTTGTCTAGTTCTTGCCTTTACTTATTTACTCAAACTTGTTTTTCCTTTGGCTTACTAGATTAAATATTTATTTATTTTTAATGGACTATCAGAAGTTGAAAAATGCCGAGCAAGAGCGCATAGATAAATTGGAAAAGTTTGAAAACAAAGCAAACTTACAGTTAGAGAGGCAACTCGTCATGGCTTCATGTTGGAGCAGAACATTGTTGACTTTACAAGGAAAACTGAAGGGAACAGAATGGGATCCTGAGAACTCGCATAGGATTGATTTTAGCGATTTTTTGAGGCTTCTTAGCTCTAACGACGTTCATTTCATGGAATATTCTAATTTTGGTCAGACCGTCTCAGGTTTGTGAAATATATGATTGAATTTCTATCTTTTGCACTGTTGAATTCTCTTTTATGCGTTTCAGAAATCTCATGCCTGATACCTTTTCATATAATGATAGGATTTTTGTCATCATTAGTCATTAGCAATGATTATGTGCCATACTTTTAATTATTTTTTAGAACCATCATGCATGCACCCACAAAATTATGTTAGTTTTGGCTATATTCTATTAAAAAAAAAAGAATTGTAGGAGGATGTCCCAAAAAAATTTGTCTTATGGGAAGAAAACTGATTAAATTTAGAAGATAGATGATCTAAATTAGAGGAAAAATCAGAATATAGAAACCAACAACGGTAAAAAATTGTTCTATGGTGTTGTTTTTTATATTTTTGTTTAACATTATGCACTTCTAAGTATTTATCTTCTAATTTTAATCATCTATTTTTTTTTTCTAACCAAAAAAAACAAAAAAAAAGAGTATCACGATATCCTGATCACGTTTTTCCCGTTGTATTTAAGGCATGGAAAACTCGTTAACTTTTTGTTTGGAGTTATTGTATTAGGTTGAAAGTAGCATGGGGAGCATGTCAGTATGTTTATTCAACATTTATCATAGCTGCAAGCAGCATTTGCACTTTGTGGTTTACTAGTAATGTTCACATTTTTCCTGCAGTTATTTTACCTTATTATAGAGATGGAGGCGGGGAAGCACGTGGGAACTCTGCTAAAGAAGTTGTATATCGTCGCCATATTATTGACCGGATGCCCATTGATGCTTGGAATGATGTATGGGAGAAGTTGCATCAACAACTTGTAAACGTTGATGTTTTTAATGTAGATTCTGTACCTGTTGAAGTCTACTCTACTATTGCAACTGCTGTTGTGTGGACTATTCGTTTTATGCTCTCAGTTGGTGTATACCTCAGGATTGACCGAATCACGAGGCCTATTTACTCCAAATTGATTCCGTGTGATTTGGGTACTCCACAGAAACCAATTAGACAACCCCTTAAGCGTCATGCACTAGGATCGCTGGGCAAAAGACGATTAGCTCTAGTTATTTATGGTATTTGTCAGCCATCATTTTGAATTTCTTTATAAATGTTATGATAATAGAATTTCTTTTGACTTTTTTATATTTACTCGGGCACATGCATGGATACCATATAGAGCTTGATATGGTGTTATATATTGTAGTTTATTCTGTGAAGGGTGTTATCATGAAAATGGACACCATGCATATCTCTCTTGATTTCCTATCTCTGTAATGATTTAATTTGTAAGTCCTATCAGGAAGTTAATTTTCCATTCTGTTTGGACTTGTAAGTTTTTGTTTTGTTTTTTTTTATTTGACTCGGCAATGCTTTCACCATGTTTTCCAGGAGAATTTCTTTTGTAACCATGTCAAACTTTTAATTTAATTCTTTTATGAGATTTCAACTGTTCCAGGCTTTTGATTTTAAACTTAGTTAATGAATATGATTTTTTTGTTATTTGATTTTAAATGTAGTGATCTTAGCACCCTAAATGAAAATAGAGTTTTTTTTAATTGTTGTATTAGTAAAACTGAATTAGAGAGGCTTTAAAGAAAATAAAGTGTGGAAAAGCTGTTGGACCTGATAATATTCTAATATGAAAATGCTAAGGAGATGATGAAATTTCTTGGCTTACGAAACTTTTTATTATTTTTTGAAGATAAAAAGGATCATGATTGGAGGAGTGTGCTGATCCATATTTTTAAGAATAAAGGTGACCCATAATAGTGTGTGAATTGTAGATGAATTAAGTTAATGTGTCATACATAAAAACTATGGGTGAGA